GGCTAGTTTGTACCGGAAGTATAGATAACAAAAAAAAAAAAATAATTATAAAAAGAGAATATTTACAAATTCTTTTAGAAAAAAATATATTTATTGATAACACATTAAAAATATAACATTACAAAAAATGAAATATTTTATCTCTCGAAAAATAAAGAAAATATCAAAAAATTGGTAATTCTAATGTATAATTTTAAAATCAAGATTTTAATACTCTGCAACTTATTTTATGAGTGTCAAGAGATTTTTTAGAGTAACTCTAATGTATAATTTTATTTTTATTACAAAAGGAAATAGTGACAAAATACAATTAGCTTTTTTTGTAAAGTATCATTTTATTTTCTATTCAAAATTAAATTTTTTAAGTGTATTATTTTTCTATTGTTCTTCAAAAATTATTAATTGATTCATTCATTTAATTTCTTTCAGTTTTTTATATAAATTATGATATTCTTTAACTTTATATCATTATATTTTATATTTTATCAAAGATAGTGAATGATTCAAAAATACGAACATGAAACACATCGAATCATTCAAACATAAAACATATTTCTTTTAATGCGCCAAAACTGCTGAAGAAAAAAAACCAATTTTAAAAATGGTGCTAGATGCTTGTAAAACAAATGAAAAGAAAAAAAGAAAAAGGTAAAAAATTAAATAAGTTCTAAAACAATCAAATTGCATTTTGACTTAGAATGTTTTTTTTAAAAAATTTTATGAAGTATTGTTTTTTAAAGATGTCATAGTTTTAGTTAGAGATATTGAATTAAAAGTGAAGACAAATAGAAAAATAAAAAAAAACAGAAGCCGATGAAGAAAAAATCTGGAAAGATAATTAAAAAATTTAGAAAAAAATCAATAAGATAAATGATAAAAACGATGAAAAATAAAAAGAGAAGATGATAAAAATGAACTATGGAATACGAAAAATAAACTGATGAAAAAAATATTTACGAGATGTTTCTTTTTGAAAATAGGTACATAAAACTTTATTTGGTTGTTTAATATATTGTTACTAATTTTAAAATTTATATAAATCAATAATAATTAGTAATTTAGTTCAATAATTTTGTTTTTTTAACATATGATGTATTAGATATATAATTAATAAAATTAAAACTAATACTCAAATTATATAATTCATTTTAAAATTGAAAAATGTTTATAAAGTTTTTATTTTAGGCAAAGTCCGGAGAAACATTTAGTACTAATTAAACAAAAAGTAAAGTTAGACAATGTTTGATTTTATAAGTTTTAAGTTTTTTTAATTAAAAAAAAAACAGAAAGTAACATCTTTATCGTAATGGTGAATGTAAAAGTTTACAATAAAGATCAATACAGTAGAAAAACGAATTTGTACCATATCGATAGATTTTTTCACCTCACTAGGCCATCACCATTTCGTTGCTTGTTTTTAATGTCCTAAAAAGTGATTTATTTCCTAATCCATTTGATAAAAAAAAAAAACATTTAAAACAGACAATATTACGATTACTAAACCATCTGTTTGTGTTTTTGATGAATGATTTTAGTCCTATCGAAAGTTATCAGGTTTGGTCGTCTTATAAACCTGACTGATGAATAAGGTTTTATACCACCAAAGAAAACAAATTTATTTAATAGCATACTGTAGCATGATGATACACCTACAAACCTTTAATGTATAGAATCCTAAACATTCGGAAAATTAACATTTTTACTGTGAATTTCAATGAATAAACTGATCACATTAAACATACATCGGTATTTCCGAAAAAATAACTGCTCTTCAACTCGTTGTGCATGATTTGTTTGTCTTTTTTTGAACTAAAGTTTACATGATTTGTTTGTCGCAGCTCATAAATACGACCAAACACAAATCACGAAGAGAAATGTACATATGTGAAAGAATGATAAATGAGGAAGTCATAGTGTATTGAATAATTAAGATGGCATTAAATTAAAAGAAGCCAGAGAAATGTGTCGGTGAGTGGTTGGATGTATTGGGGTCAGTTCAAGAAACAAAAAAATCGAATATGTACAAAATACAATACGCAGGTGTAAAAGAAGAGCATCTTCCACGTTTTTGTATGTTAGAAAATGAAAGAAAACGACATTTGATCTAACCCCTATAATACTTGACGATATCTTTGGATTCAAAATTAATTAAACGTAGAAAAACGAGTACCTATATGAAAAATACATGGGACAATGATTCTCCCACCGTTCCCTTGCCGTTGAATTAATGCATATACATTGTTATAATATTATATTTACAATTTGTGAGTGAAGAATAAGATACTCGATTTCTAGAGACTAGAGAGCATGATACTGCATGTGTCCCGTGATATCTTATGTCAGTTTGGTTGGTGGTGCATATTCACATATTTGGAGAGAGCGTGTGTGTGTTTTTATTCTCTTTAAAATTCATAAGAAAAGGTGCTTTAGGCTTTAGCTAATATGATTGGATGTACGAAGAGATATTTTACGTCTTTTGTGATAAAAGAAAAAGCAAATAAAGGTTTTTTCGTGAGCAATTAGTAATTACCGACAGATTGAAACACTCATTTATTTGCTGTTAAAATCTATGACCAAATCGTGGGTAACTTTACCGATTTTGTTGACCAGATTTCTCATTGCTAAATATAGAAATGGTTATGATGTTTTTTGCTTGCTATTATTTCACGACAGGATCTCATTGTTACTTTATGAAGAATCAACAACAATGCAGCGTGGTGATAAATCTAGAGAAGTTTGCAAAAAAAGCCGTTGTTAGATACCAAATATTATGTGGTAAATTGTAGAATAAGGCTTATCTTTTTCGATAATTTTTTATTAAAATTTCAGTGATATATTATACTTTATATGTTACTTACGTAATTACTTCATTTGCCCATTTTATATAGCATGTGAGAGATGATCCACATTCTACAATATGGTCTGCAACATATATATAATGGTCTTCATCTTGAAACTTGTTATTTTGTTTTTGAAAAACTTTCGTATTTGGCGGTGGCGATGGCGACTTCAAAGACTAACCAGAGACCGATATGCATTTACTAGTCACTATCATATAAATAAATCTCAACATTTTCTCAAAAGTTTGAGACATTTTTTTTTTCTTTCTGAAAAACATACAACACAATATATATACAATCTCATTATATCTTCATAGGAAGTTTAATCACACAAAGTTTAATCCTCTATCTAATGTCAAACATGTTCAAAAAATTTCATTTGAAACTACACAAAAAGTTAAATGTCTGGAAACTATACAAATATTTAAAATATTGTGTTTACTATTCAATTTAGACATAAATCAAGATTAAACATTTTAAACCGGTTTTAGTCGAAATTCAATTATAATTAATCAAATCCGACCTAAAGTCTAATTGTATTCGAATCTAACTTTAGTTTTCAAAAGTTAACTCCAATTTTTCCTAGATCTCAAGTCGGATGCGATTACTTAGAGTTAAACTCCAACTATAAGTCGATTTAAAATGTTTAATAATCTATGTTTAAATTGAACAATAAACACAATATTTTGATGTAGTTTCAGGCACTAACTTTATCTTGTGTGATTTAGGAATACAAACTTTGAATATGTATAGTGTTAGGAAGAGACCTAAACTTTAAACGTGTGAAATGTTTAAAAAAGGTGTAAACTGTATGATTTGAAACAAATTAAAACTTTTGATTGAGTTATATAGATCGATCACCCTAAAAAAAAAACTGTTAGGTTGAGTTTATAAATTTATATTTAATTATACACTGTATAATAATATTACTTAGAAATTCAAAAATTGGAATTGTTTGTTCATCCTTGAATCATATTATTAATTGAGAAGCAAATTAGACTGTAATTGGGAGTTATGATGGTTGATTACCTTTTATCCTTTATATAAATTTAATTTAATTACTTTTAATGAAATTAATAAATTAATATAATCTAATTTTTAATTGATTTTTATTTTTTAAATCTAAATTTCCAAATTTGAGTTTATATCATAAAAATATTCAGTTTACTAAAAAAATATAACTAGCATAAATAAATAAAAAAATCCTAATTATTTCATTAAACTAATTTTAATTTGATTGTTTAACTTACTAATATTTTTGACTAACCTAATTGATTTATGTGACAACAAGTAAAACTCTAAATCATTTAAACCCATTTAAAACTCTATATATATTAATTAATGTTAAATTGATATGAAACAATGATCTTTTGGTTTTGGTCATTTTGGATTGCTATGTTTTTTAGTGCAAACTTTAAATTTCATTAATCTTAATCTACCAATTTACATCAAAAGAAGAAAATTATTTATCATATTTGATAAAGACAACAAAACAACAAAGCATATATAAGTTTTTATCAGATAATATAAAAAATATTAGAAAATAAGATATAAATTAATACATTTTGCTTTGTCACAAAAAAACATACTCATGAAAATTATATTTTTTTCAAAAATATTAAATTTGATTTTAAATTATTATAAAATCTGATTTTTTTATCTATAAATAAACTAATGTTATACTTTTTAAAAAATTTAATCAACACCTAGTAATAATAATACATATAATCTTATGGCTATTAAACAACTACTAGTAACGATCCTTAATTAAAAAAGAAATATGCTAAAAAATGTATTTATTGAGAAGAAGGAAACGAGTGAGTCGTAGTGGTTATAACGTCAGTGCAGCTTCTGAGGAAGAAGAAGCCTTCCTCTTAATCACACAGCTCACAAGTGGTCAAACTCTGCCTCTCTTCTAATCCAAAAAACCCCTTTTTACTCTCTTATTCTTCTTCTTCCTCATCTTCCTTATTTAATCACACAATCCACCAAACACAGACATTCCCAATCAGAGATCTCAATTCTCCGATTCCCCTGTTCCTTCTTTGTCGGCAGTTACCAAAAAAACCCTCTACTTTCCCAGAAACCCACCATTATCTCCTTCTTAATCATTGACCCTTCACTCAAATTTCACCACTTCTCTTCTTCTCTCTTCACAAAATGTCTTGTTTCTTAACTTGCGTCCGCTTCGACGACTCGACCACTACCACCGACAACAAACCCACGATTACAGGATCCGTCTCTGTCTCCGGCGTAACCTGTTATACCTGGGACGATGTTGAGTCTCTCACCTCCAATTTCTCTAGACTCATCGGCTCCGGCGGCTACAGCAGCATCTACTTAGCTCGCTTGTCTGGCTCGAACAAAGCCGCTCTCAAGGTTCATGCCGGAAGCCACCGTCTTTATCAGGTGTTTAGGTCTGAGCTCGAAATCTTGCTTCGTCTTCAACATCCTCACATTGTGAAGCTTCTCGGTTACTTCGACGATTCAGGTTTCCCCTTCTTCTGTTAACTCCGGTTTAAATTCTCAATTAGGTCAGCAGAATTTATGAATGGTCCCCAATTTCGGTTTAGATTCTTCAATTTCCGGGGATATAAATATTGATTTGTGTGAGAATTTAGTCATATGAATTAATTCACATCACATTCACAAACGATAAAGTCAGAGTCTTTAAAGAACAAGGCCACGAGATTTATAAATGCAAGTTGTTCTTATATATTATTGTCTTTGTCCTCATTAAGATTCTTTTTCTTTGTTGCAAGTTAATTATCAATTTGTCCTCTTTTTTTTGTTTGTTTATGTAAAATCTAATGTTCTTCTTCTTCTCTGATCTTTTTCAGAAGAAAGTGGTGCACTTTTATTAGAATACCTTCCTCAAGGTAACCTCCAAGAGAAGCTAAACCGCAACAGCAAACAAGTTTTGCCATGGAGAAACCGAACCGCAATAGCGTTTCAGGTTGCGCAAGCGATTGAACACATTCATGAGAAATGTATCCCACAGATTGTTCACGGGGACATCAAATCCTCAAACATCCTCCTTGACAAGCATTTCAACAGCAAGCTCTGCGATTTCGGATCAGCCAAAGTCGGTTTCTCATCAATGGTTCAGCCTTCTGCAACGGTTTCTTCGCCACGGTCCAAGCAAGTGAGGATGATCGGTTCTCCAGGGTACACTGATCCTCACTACTTGAGAACCGGGATGGCTTCGAAGAAGATGGATATGTTCGGTTTTGGAGTGGTGGTTCTTGAGTTGGTTTCGGGTAAAGAAGCGGTTAGCTCCGAGAGAGGTGAGATGCTTGTGCACACAGCAGCTCCCTTGATCAATGAGGTTCTTGATTCGAATGGGGATATTGCAGAAGAGAAAGTGAGACAGTTCTTGGATCCTAGGTTGTTGTCTAGGGACAGTAGTCTTGATCTTGACGAGGTTAAGACAATGCTCGGCGTGGCTGCTTTCTGTCTTCGTAGCTCGCCGTCTCTGAGACCATCGGCTTCTCAAGTGGTACGGACTCTTGTCAAGAAGATCCCGTCTGTGTCTTTCTCCTCGAGTTTGGAAAAGAAGAGTGAGAGATAAAAGACGATGAGGTTTAGGTGTAGTGATTTGGTACATATAAGACTGCAGAAAAGATCTGAACTTTTGCTGAGAAGATTTGAGTTTCGTTGTATAGGAGGAGATTCTGCTAAAAACCCAAAAGAAAGAAAGAAGATTAAATATTCTTCTTCTGCTTAGTTATGTGTGTATAGTAAACAGCAAACAACATTTTGTGTAAAACATTGGATTTTGTAAACATTACAGTGTGATGTATTATAATACAAAACTAGATATTGGATCGGTTTTTGGTCAACAAATTTTTTTTTGGGCTTTCGGAATATTTTAAATAACAAATTATATTATAACTGTGACACAAACAGATCCACATTATTTTATAATTTAATCTTGACCAACATTTACAAATCCATACATAGTATGTGTTGGGCCATCTAAATTATTATATCGGATTATATATTTTCGTTTTAAACGGCCCAAAAGAATATGTTTTCATGCTTTGTAGATAACGAACAAACAAAAAATCATTGTCTAAATTTGGGAAAGATTCACTCTCGAGAGTAACTCTAAAAAATTGATCAAACAACAAATCAATCTCATTCTCCTTCCTTAAATGATCTTCAACGATTCTTGGTTATATGAAGAGGTTTACCACAGCACATGAATTTCGTGTGATTTGAGAGAATGGTGAAATTGCATTGCTAAGAGTCAATGATTTGGGGAAAATCTCAGCAATGTGGTAAGTTATAGTAGAGTTCTTATATATCCGTTCTACTCATTTCAGCAATTGATCAGATTACACAACTATGCGTCCCGTCTATGTTTTAATTTTGAAAAACACGACGATTACTTCGATCCAATCTGAGCTAACTTTGTTTCCTATGATTCAGATAATCAATTTCATGGAATTAAGCAGCAAAGCAAAGACTAATCAAGTAGTATATTTTCTTCTTGCAATTACAAACTCTGTTCCTCTCTACTATCCTAAAAACTACAGGAATTAGTTGATTTCTTATTTTCATTAGTTGATTTCTTATTTTCATCTTAATATCACAATGAGGACGATTGTTTGAGGAACCACATAATATTCAAAGACTACATATAAAGATAAGTTTTCTTTTGCTATTGATTCGATAAATAGTAATCCCATTACATATTTTTTTTTAGCATCTGATTTCCGCTAACATGTAATATTTTTTGTAGAAGTATAATATCTCTGAGGAAAGAAGATATTGGTCCAGTGTGAAGACTCCAAAATACTACGATTACATCATGTAATAATTACGTAAATTGAATTATTCTTTTAAAACTAGTTTGATTATGTATTTGCCTCTTACTAATAAACTAATGTAATATCAGTTTGGATTACAGATTCAAAAGCTTAGAAGAGGATATCAGCAGAATAAGGCCAATGCAAGTAGATCAGCTTCTTCAAATTAACATTAAGGTAATAATTAAACGTCCGCAAAACTATAATAATATATAGATGTTGTTGGTTAATTGTTATTAGGAAATTTAAAAGTGTTATATAAAGTATATAATAATATTAGTTGATCGATGATATAAAAAAATTAATAACAATACTATAAATAAGAAAATTAATCCAAAAGCTTCAAAGTAATAAAAACTAAACTAAGTAATAATATAATAACTTTCATCCATATGACTTATTTGTTAAAAATAAGTTCCTGTAAAAACCATTAAGTAACTAAAACCATGAGTTACAAATTAATTAACTTCATAGCTTCTGGAAAACCTCTTTAAAACAACATTCGTAGTCTTCCTTTGAGGTTTTCCTTCTTTATCAACAATTAAAATCTTCAGACCTTTCTTAGATGTAACTCTAGATATGGCAACATAAAGTTGTTCATGTGAAAAAACTGGTATCCACAAAAAGATACCAACTTCAGAAAGAGACTGACCTTGGCTTTTGTTGATTGTAATTGCAAACGCTACAGCTAAGGGCAGCTGCCTTCTTCTCATTTTAAATGGCAATTCGGCATCTAAATGAGTAATTAAAATTCTAGGAATAATAACTTTGATTCTGATTTTCTATCCTGTTATGACCCTAGCTTCAACCATAAAATCTGCTAGTTGAGTAATCTGCAATCTAGTTCTATTCATTAATCCTCCAATAGGATCAATATTCCAAAGCAACATAACAGGACAACCAATCTTCAAACGAATACTGTGGTTAGGTAATCCAGAAGCTCTCATACTGTTTAACAACTCTGGTGTAAGCGCATCATTATTGGCTGCATTAGTATCAGAAGGGTCTAAAGAGTCTACACTTAAATATATCTTTTTCTCCCCTAGTTCAAGTAGCGAAGACACACATGTTAAAAAAACTTTAAATAGAAAAAAACAATCTAAAATTAAGTATAAGAGATATGATTAAGGATGCACTAACCATTTAGCCTATCGAGCATATGCTCATTAATCATGTTGACATCTTCATTTGTAGGACAAAGAATTGCTCTTCCTTGAAAAAACTTAGGATCTTTATTCTCTTGCAATGACGCAGTATCTCCATATATCTTTCTGCTTATACATTTTATAGGATCCTCTGAATCTAGAATAAGAAACTCTTCTGGAATGTCAATTAGAACTTCACCATCATTAGGCTCAGAAATCTTCCCATCACCAACCGCTAATATCCACTGTGAAAATTCCTTAAGGTCCTTTGTTTCTTGATCAGATAGAATATCAGAAACCAAATGCATATTCTTTGTCAGCTTAAGCACTTTACAATGATCTCAAAGATATGAAGAATTAAGCGATGCTAAAACAATTTACGTCCTACCAGCACCATAAATCACATGAAGTACTTGTCTAAAATCGCCTCCAAATACCACTACTTTCCCACCGAAAGGTTTATTCTCCTTCTTCCTAATAATGTCTTGTAAACTTCTATCCAAAGATTTAAAACAATGTTTACTCATCATAGGGGCTTCATCCCATATTATAAGAGATGCCTGCTTAACTAAATTTGCAAGATCAGAGCCAGCTTTCATTGTACACGTAGAAAACTAATCAGGACTTAAAGGAATGCCAAACCTTGAATGAGCAGTCCTGCCACCTTGTAGCAACAGAGAAGTTATTCCACTTGAAGCAACGTTGAGAACGATATCTCCTCTTTATCTGATTGCAGGATATAGAATTCTCCATAAAAAAGTTTTTCCAGTTCCACCAAAACCATAAACAAAGAAGACTCCACCACAATCACGTAAAACTGCACCAATAATCTCATCATATATCTTCTTTTGCTCATCCGTAAGCTTCTGGAAGTCTCGGTCATGATTTGCTTTCAATTCTTCTATGTTGTAACTTAGCTCATCAACGATCAAAACATTAGAACTCTGACTACCATTTAGATACACCTTAGGCATAGATTCAAATCTTTACAGTAAATTCCCATTACTTTTCAGAATCCTATCAATCTCCTGAACACAAAAAAATTTCTTATCATTATCACTTAGAATCATTCCTGGCATAAAAAAATAGAGACGTTACAATTGCACTCACATTGGATAAATTAACTAAATACTAATGAAACTTACATATATAATCAGAGAGTAGAGCCAAAGAAAGTACTAACCTGGTCTATTCAATTTTTGTTTTTTCTTGAACTCTATGTCATCCGAAAGAAATTTCCATGTATTATTCCAAACAACTTCAGGTGTAGATAAACAATCATAGCTGAGCATAATACAAAAAATCTGATGAAGCTCTGATGGACTACACATAAAACTCCTTCTGACAATATCATCACTATACTCTTGGTCACCTTCTAGCGAATCTCTTACATAGCAAGCATCTTTGTATGTAGGATACACAACTTTATTGAAAGTTTTTATATCCTTATAAGACTTTGGACCTCTAACAACATTTAGAAGAACTCAATGATAATATGCAGACTCTATCTTGCGTGGGGCATAATTAATTATACCAATACTAAAACCTTTTTCTCTTAGTTTAAAACACTTATATCTCTGATTATAAGTAAACATAGTAGGAATTTGAGCATATGTTAGTTTGTCCACATCAGAATCTACCTTGTTCAATTCAAACCATGCAAGAAACGTTGTATCCTCAATAAGTTTTTGAGACACTACTTGCTTCACTTTATCACCATCTTTCCATATCACATTTTGCTTTCCTGGTAGATGCCAATTAAGTTTCTCAACTGGTGTTGATCGATAGTGAATATGAAAGTTAAAAATCTTCCAAGCAGCTTCACATGCAGAAACATACCTGAAAGCATATACAAATTAGTTAACATTTCTGAAAATGATATAGTATTAAAGATATATAATATCACCAGCCTAATAATATCACTAAACATTAAAAACATACTAACCTGCAATCAAAGAAATCTTTAATCTCATCAATATTTTCATGAGAAACACTTTTGAATTTACCAGAGGCATTGTGTTTTTGTTTAGATCCATCCCCTGATTTCTTGACCCATCATTTTCTTGATCCTTCTCTGGTGGCTCAACAACAACAGCTACACGATCTACTCTTTTATTAATGTATTTAAGTAAATACTTGATAGATCCCAACTGATTGCAGCATTCTATGTTAATGTGAGCTCGATAACGAATTGATAACTCTTTGTTATATGGAATAACATATCTGTTATCACAATTAAAACCGTTTTTCTTAACAAACCTATTTGCTTGCTCACGCCTTCTGTAAACTGGAAAACCTTCTATGTTGACTGTTGTCTTCTCTGCATGAGCCTTAGGATATAACTTAGTGCATTTACCATTCTCCATACATGGTGAGTTGAAGTTAACCTGACCGCAAGGTCCATGAATCATCATATCTTTAATCACTTCATATAGAACAGGTTCCTTAAAACGATCAAAAATCTCAGCAGAGATAATCTTATCAATATAATTAGTAGTAGGAAACTTGCATTCAGGATGCATGAATAGAAGAATATGAGCATGTGGAAGACCTCTTTCTGAAATTCTATGGTGTACATTGCTGCAAAATGAAAAGGATAGCATTAGACTAAAAAACATAATTTTCAAACAAAAACCAACAAACACATAACTGAATAACTTACATGAAACATTTTTCCCTAATATGGTCTTCTCTGTCAAATCAACCACTAGAGAATCAAGCTTCATCTTGAAAATACGACAAATGATATCTGGCCTATCTTCAGCCTTCAGATTACGCTTCTGTAGGTACCTACTAATTTCAGGCCATTTAGGATTACACGTGAATGTAATGAACAAATCAGGGAAACCAAAATGCCTGCAAATGGCCATAGCGTCTAGATACATATTTTTCATGTATCTTAGGCCTCCTGTAAATGATGCTGGTAGATAAAAGCGATTTCCATACTCACTTAGATCAGTAACTCCATCTTTTTCTGCCTGCTTTATAGAGTCATAACTGTCAGACCTAAAAGAAGATTGATTCTTTCTCAAGTAGGATAATATGTTAGCTTCTATCATAGTGTAGCTATCAACCAGAAATTTTTGAAATAACCTTCTTGAACGAAGCAGAATTGGTGACTCATTCTCTCGATCCTGAATACAGAATGCAAAAATTGACGCATACTTATACCTTCCTTCTTAGAATTCTTAGAAGCAGTAGTAATCCCCTTTTTAATCCATAGTCTAAAACCATCCTCTCCATGGGGGAAGAGAAATGGATACTGGAGAGGCATATAAGACTGATGAATTTCACTTATTCTCTTTAGCTTTCCATACTGTTTTTGCAGAACAATATCTCTTTTATCCATTTCTATATTGAAATCCCTGGAATAATTGCAGAAACTTCAGAAGATGTTAGCCTTTTGTATGTTCTTGCATCTGTAGGTCGAGCATCCAAAATCCTCAAATGAAAACTTTTCTCAGGATTAGTGTTACATCGCTCTCTTGCAGTTCGAAATTGTACAATGTATGGGTTGCTGTCATTTAACATTGTGATTAAAGCATCAATGATTTCTTTCCTGAGTTTATTACTTTTAGTAGGCTGTGTTGCGTTTTTCGATTTACTGCAACAAAAACATCAAAAAAAGAACATTGGATTTCAGTGGTTATATTCAAGTATAGAGGTAGTACAAATTAACGTAGAAGAATAGCTACCTGAGAACATTAGCTTTGTTATCAACCTCATTTTCTGTATCAACTATTTCAAGCTGGTAGAACTTAACATAATTACCACGTTTAGGAAGCATACTACCCATTAAGTGATAGTTTTCATCTTGCAGCTGAAACATTTGAGGTCCTTTACCTTTTTTAACTGAGCGATCTACTCTTCCTCCTATAGATATCATAGAGAAAACCATGTTTTAGGGCCTAATATTCTTCTAGAAATGTTTACTTAGCTCATCATCAGATGTAAGCAAGTGATTCAAGTAACTAGGAGTATCCTTTAGTTGAGGTAAAACAACTTGTCCTTGTAGACAACACAACGTAAAGGTTGGGTTTTTTAATTTCTTTTTCTTGCTGATGCGCTCTCCATACCAAAATAATGCACCACAATGTTTACAACTATATACAGGATCACCCCCATTATTGTATTCTACAAAGTAGATAATCTGTTAGTCACGTAAATGCTTGTGAAATTTATTACAATTGAGTTTATTAATATAGGAAAGGCAGTAAGTACCTGGGGTTTTGTTTGCATTATTGACATCATATGGAGTAGAAAACATGGTTTTAAGTAAGTCAGCAACATTTTTAATTTGACAATGGTCTTCTGTTTGTTGTGACGAAACCAGGTTCTGAAAATCATCTTCATCAAAATTGTCTGAATGTGTTTCTTCTTGACTACTACAATCAAAATCTTGTTCATCAGAATCTTCATCATAAAATTATGATCAAACTTCACGCTCCTTCATATTTGTTGAAAGAATACTACATTTCTGTAATAATAGAATGGTAATGTTTGGTATTATTTACAACCTTCTGATGAATACTTTTGTGGAGTCTGATCTGTTCCAATGTTAACTGAATGTAGATCATGGAATGGATGAAGCCTACTTGATGATGATGAGTCAAATGATCTACAGCTTGAAAAAGGTGAGTTTGTTCCTTCTCCAAATTCATTTACATTCATGTATGATAAACAGCTTCTCTCGAAATCAGAAGTAGCGCGTACTCCCGAGAAAGTTTGATCAACTGAAAGAGAAATGGCCCTTTAGTTTATGTTATTACCTGCGCTAAGATCTAGTAAACTTTACACAAAAATTACCTGATATTGTAGAGTATCCTTTTGCAGGTGTCTGAAACGAATTGCAAGTTTCACTCGACGTGGGTTCACTATTTGGTAAATGTACGTTTGAAACATCATGTAGAACTCTCTTCTCGATATTTAATGTTGATAGCGTTCTTGAACTTTGTTCGACTGCGCATATTAAGTGAAATTCTATGAATGAAATGCAGTCTACTTCTCTTATTCTTTAGAGAGGTTGGAAGTTGAATATTTCCACCACCATCTACATCTCCTTTCTTGTTCATAGTGAAAAGAGGTTTGCAAATAAGAATTAGTTTGATTGGATCTACTAGATCACAAAATTGTATCAGTAGTTTTTGTTAAAGAAAATATAAGAATTATTTTTAACTGAGCCAATATGAGTTGTGTTTGTTCGAATATAGTTAAAGAAATCTCTATGATTCACGCTTACAATATCTTTTACAATATATGATCGATAGAGAATATTTAATACTAAATATTCCATAGAATATATTTACACAAATCTAAATAGTTAAGTAAAGTCCAAAAACTGAATATGACATACAAACCACACTTAAAATGTTTTGGAAACGAGAATAGTTAAGTAGAGTACATAAAACTGAATACGAAATACAAATCACACGAGATAAAACTGGAAATGAGAAAGGTTAAGCAAAGAATATGAAACATGAAAATGAAATACAAATCACACTTTTAAATCATTCTTTCAATGCAGAGCGGACTCTGTCCAGTAGTTTTTCTCCTCTTCTCCTCTTTTAACCAATCTCAATGGGTGTGTCTAGCCTGATATATAAGCAGAAACAATATATGCATATAATTATCTCATATTAATTGAAAACCATATAGAATTCCTCATGTATAAATCAATCTCGTCAACTTACATATTTTTTTTTAATTCAAACACCTCTTCAATTTCGAGATCGAAGTAAAAGCGAGAAACTCCTCTCTCATCCATCAATTGTGCATTTCCTAATTTTAAAATCTAGACGGTATTAACTTCTTGAAGAGTTGATTTTTATCTCATTTGATAAAAATTTGGAACTCTTAGTAAATGTTAAAATTTACCTTCAATAGTCCTAGGATGCCAATCAGTTAAAACACAAACAGCTTTACTGTAGTTAAAACAGTACCAATGTTGATTAAAATCCTCAGCCAATTTCCCAAATGCCACACATTGTATAGACTCATCGCTGCCAAGATAAATTACATAATAAGTAACAATTTGATACATTAACCAAAGTATTAAAAACATAGTAGAACCTTACTCGTTATTGACAATCGTGAACCTTAGATGACATATTTGTTTAGGAGACTCAGGACCAAACAGGTCATCATGGACTAACTCTAGATCCTCAACATCCGCAACTTTTCCAATAACATCTATATTAAAGTTAAAATGAGCTTACGATCACTCAAAATTTCAAAATACAATCCTTATTAAGTATAGAATAGGAAGAATTTTAAGTATTTACCAACATGAAGATTTAGGGGTATATATTGGTTGAAAAGAGTATCAAAGCTTTTGAATTTCATAAAGTGGTCTTCACCATCATACTTAGCTCTTTTCACCTATGTGTTCTCTAGAAAACTGAGTTCTTTGTCGGTGTCAGTTAGATGTTGAAGATTAGAAACTCTGATGACCGTAAAGTTGATGATTTTCTTCCAATCTCCTTTCTGCAATGTTCGGTCAAAATATGGTATCATCCACTCCCAGTTGATATAACCATGGATTTTGTCGCCCTATATATATTTTGTGAGAAAATAAAATTTAATTAATATACTGAAAAATCGATACTTCAATGAAAACATTCAAAAGACAAAGATCTACAAAAAAACTTCATACATGTAGAATTATTTACTTACACGTTCATCACCCAATATAAAATGGAGAGACTGAACTCCATCTTGATCAATGTTTAGCCACTTTTTATAAACTTCGACACGCATAACCTAGTCTGATTTCCATGGATGAAGATCAATGACTTTGTCATAGATAAAATTCATGATTTTAGTAATAAGATAAAGAAATGAAGAAAGGAGGTTTTGTTTGTTTTAAGTAGAGAACTTGATCTTCTATATATAGTGAGATGAGATGTAAGTTACACGGTTAGATGCAAAGCATTTTAGATTTTGTTTAATGCATTTAAGTTTTGTTATCAATTTATATTCGTATAACTCACTTTAATTTTGTGTCAGATTTGTAGGTGAAGTTTACTAAAAAGAAAAATGGGAAAAGACAACACAATTGCATCGGTAAGTTTAATTTTTTTTTGTTCTTCAGAAACTTTTCAGTAACTTTACGTAGTAAAGATCACGATTTGACAAATCATTTCTTCATTTTTATTGGCCAAGTTATTGGTTGAATTTTATTGGAAATCTTTTTGTTATCAATACAGCCCAATTATTTTATATGGAAGGGAATGTTTGTGCTTCACCGAATATAATATGGATTTGAGAATAGCCTATACAATATAATGTATATAAAACTCATAGTTAATATTATTAGTCCAATATAGCACATTCAGTAACTCTTTAAAATCCATATCAAACTAACACAAAATTTAACTGATGTTAAAATATTCTTAACTGATTTGAATATTCAAAAACCGTTCTGGTATGGTATGTTAATTTGAAGAATTTATATTGAAAAACTACTAAACCTTAAAAACCAACAGCAAAAGAAGATAAAATAGGTATAGATAGTGTCATGAAAAAAACTTTAGTTGTAAAAAATAAAATGGACCAAGGTTTTTTCCGAAACTTTTAATGGTGCTTGTTACTTCTCCTTCTCTTTATCTTTGATTCCGGCTAGAATTGTCTGATTGTCAACATTTTTCGTTTTCTTTTCCACACCATTGTCTGATCTAATCACAACAATCTCTTTTTCACTGGCAGGGATCTTTCCATCCAATTTCTCTTTTTTTTTATAGTTTTGATGTAGAGCTTCTTGGATGTTGAAGAGAGATTATGATGTAAGAATGGATTGCAATTCACTTAACACAACCAAGAAGTGGAGCTTTGAAGCTAAGGATGGTGCATAGCAGCTTGAACCCGTGGAGAAAGGAGAGCTTGTAGCTGAGCTTGGAGCTGTTCAGGATCAAACCACCATACACCGTCGTTCTAGACCTCACAAGGAGTCAAATGGTCGAGCCAAACCCCAACCGGTCCGAGTTCGCCAAGACATCTATTTGGACCTACATATACATATGGCGAGTTATATGAGGCAAGCACGACTTTACCTTACATTTTGGAGCATTTAGAAGATAATAATGAAGATAAGGAAGCTGCAAACCGGAGTCATCTCATTCAAATCAAGCCAGAACCACCAAATCTCTCTAAACCACCAAAAGGAGCAACATTGGAGCTAGTTAAGGAAACAAGAGATCATATGACATTTTATTCACCCCACCATCATATCCGACCACCAAGACATATTTCAAGATGTTCAAAACCAGAAAATCAACTTCTGAACCGCCCCAAACCGAGCCAAAACCAAGAAAATATCAAAGAAGAGCCACTTGCCAAAGATGGAACCATTTTTGTTGATTCAAGGAGTAAAGAAGGCAAGGACGACCAAAGACTACATCATATCATTACTCTTGATCCATCAGTCAAGCTACATGATCATACACATTCATTTCGTCCTCAAGACCCCAAGATTACCCCCTTTGACCGCCCCATTCAAGCACCATCACCTTTAAAGCCTAACGGCTAGGAGAATGAAGCCAAGAAGACAATCCCACATTTTATGTTTTTTCTTTACTTTGTTACCGTTTTATTTCATTACTTTTGAGCATTATATAAGCTCTTTACTTCATGTATTTTCGTCACAAAGTTATAATTAAAAAGAAGTTATTTTGTTTTCAAAGAAAGTGTCTCTTTGCATTACAAACTGTTCCTGCGATTTCTTTAAGTGTTTTGAGGATTCAACCTTATAGAATTTCGGGTAGAATCTCCTAAGCTCTTGTGAGGATTAGCCCTTGAGCTGAGAAGAGTCTAACCTTTGGTGTTTGAGGTCATCAAGCATCAACAAGGCTATAAACCACCAGTCTTCTCTTCCATTCTATCTAGCTTAAAACTATCTGTTCTAAGACACATTCCTTGAAGCAATTTGAGGCTTGTATCATTGGTATCAGAGCTAAAAGCTCCTTATCCAGGTGTTTTCAGTTCCCTTCTCAAGTTTTTTGATTTTTATTTTCATTCATTTTTCCCTTCTTATAAAACTAAAAACCCACAAAAACTGATTTAATCTTTATCTGTCTTCTGCGATTTTATAAAATCCAAAAATCCATAAAAATTGTTTTTGATTTTTTTTAGGTTTATTTAATCTCTTAAAAATACAAAAAAATTATTTCCCAAAATTATTCGGATCGTTTGATAATTTGTTTTGATTTTTCAACTCAATTGGTCAAATCCGTTTAATTCTGTGTTCTTCATTTTGTTCGGTTTTTATAAAATCCAGAAAAACTCAAAAAAATTAATTTATTTTTGTTTCTGTTAAATTAAACCCTTAAAAACAACAAAAAAATTGTTTCTTGAATTTTTCAAATCATTTGATATTTTATCTTTGATTTTTTATTCAACTGCTAAAACAGCCTGAAAACTGTTCTTGTGTTCTTGTGATTTATCTTGAACAAACTTTGATCTTTTGTACTTGAATCTTATTTGCAAGGTACTAAATGGAAGATCCACCACCAGTAGACCCAATGCAGGCAATGATGGCCATGATGCAAACACAATTCGCAGCCATCAACGAAAATCTTGCCAACCTCAATGCCAATACCCAAGCCACTGCTGAAAGGTTAAATCGCTTGGAGAATCCAGCACGCCTTCCACATCTATTGCCAAGAAGAAACATTCCTGGAGGTCAACAAGATGCAAACCGTGTAGAGGAGCCCCCTGATGTACCACCACGAGCACCAGACCCTGTACAAGCTGCCCCAGAAATCTTAAATAGAAGGAATGCTGAGCGCAACAGGCCATACCAAGAGGACAGAAACTTGCCACCAGAAGTCAAGCTTGCTGCTCCAACTTTTGCAGGAAAGATTGATCCAGCCGCCTACCTAGAGTGGGAAAGAAGGATGGAACATTTGTTTGAGTATTACTCTTACAATGAGCCAAAGAAGATGGCCCTAGCAATTGCAAGTCTCACTGACCATGCCTTAGCTTGGTGGGACAGAGAAACAGCTGAGAAGAGGAGACTAAGATA